TATTCCCCTGCGGTTTAAATGGAATCCAGTGGCCGGATAGTCATGTGATACCGGGAAAACCATCTGAGCTGAGTGGTGGTGGTGGTGGGAGGGGGGGAGGGGGGTCAGAATCCCAACCCTGGATCCAATAATCCATTTATGTTTCCACGGCGAGGCATGACAAACGAGCTGAGGGCAGGGACCCGCGTGACGTGAAAGGGGCCCACGTGACTGCACGGGCGTGAAGAAACGGGCAGACACCTCGCTGTCCCGTGGAGCACTTGTCCTCCATCGCCGTCAGACACTGGCTTCAGTAAATCTGCTCCATCAGACGGCAGCCACAAGTCATTGGGGGGCATTGGCGTAGAGTAGTGCGGACTTGATGGAAATCATCAAGGCCATCAGCGTCATCGTAATGTGAATTATTGGTACCCATGGCCACTATAAGGCTTTCAGGCGGTGAAAATTAAATGTATTAATTACGGAGGAATAACAAAAGCCATTTAGATCGTCACACCTGTTCCTTTGCGCATCCAGCACAGGTCGGAACTCCACAAAATGTAAGCCTTAAACAAATTGAAGATATTTACATTTGCACAATCTTTAAACATATTTTCTGAGTGTCGTGGTGCACATCTTTCTTTGATCCAGCACTTTCAAGGTAGGAGGGGTTGGTCGATAACGCAGATTTGTGATGCGAGGTGGTCCAGGAAGTGGCGTTTTAGAAAATGAGTTTTTGAATAATTGTCAGTAAAAAATGTTTTATCGTTATCCCCTTGTACGTGGAGATTTCCTTCTGATGTTGGAAATGGAACATACATCTAAAACTAGGAGCCACCTAAAACTAGTGCACAGTGAGACGTTATTGAATACATTTAATTATTGTTTTAAAAAACCCACGTATCATCAATGTACCATTTGTACGCATTATTCAACATGACATATAAAATGTGAATTACCCACTTGAACCAAAAAACGCTATCATAAACGCAGCTTCAAAAGGCCACGGGCAGCAGCAGCGTTATCGTATAAACAGCCATTTAGTTTCAACAAAGAGCGGAGAACAAACCAACAAAATCCACACACCACCACTGTGCGGGCGCCCAGTGTGTCCACCTCGCGATAAAGACTTGAGTCAAAGCCACAGCGTGTATCTGACCGCGGCAGGCAACGGTGCCGCGGATGATAGTGCGAGGAATCCCGCCGGATCTGCCACGTGCCCTTCACAATCCCCCCCCCACCCGACCCCCTTCCCTCCCACGCTTGACATCTCCCGTGGCTTCACTACCCCTGGTTCTGCTCCACGTGCAGGCAGCCCTGGCGTTGCCAGGCATTGTTCCCCTGACGTGCGCTTCTCCATCATCATCATCATCCTTTGACGCCTCCCTCCAGCCAGTGTCGACATTGACTCTGGGGTGGGGGGGGGGGTCTCAGGGTTGCCCTCTGAGCCCCCCCCCCCCCATTTCAATGTATACAATCCTAGCGAGATGGTAGAGATTCAGACAAGATATAGAGATAAATTTCGACAAAAAAACAGATGTAGTAAGGTGAGAGGAAGGTAAATGCGGACAAGCAGGAGATGAGAGATATCAATTTGCCTTGTATATTAATACATTTGCGTGGTTATTAGGATCTGCATTTGAGATGACATTGCATGCACCCCTTTTGTCAAGAATCTGTGGATTTCCTTGAGCTACCTGGGAGTTCAAAGCTTTTGCTTGGGTTGCTCATGCCCATCGCTGCCACGGCTGGCGGGCATGTCAGAGTGATTGTGCGCATGCTGATCCGTTCACAGCAGGGGGGAGGGAGTGCGGGCGCGATGGAGGTTGGGTGTCGGGTTTGCAGCAACGACGCGATGGAAGGCTTTCTGTCCAGCAGAAGGAAGGAAGCGATGTGGTGGCATCAACAGAATTGGCCATGATGGCATCTCGATCTTGACCATGACCTTGCTGGGATGGGCGTGGAGATTTGAGCTTCTCTCAAGCAGTGAGACAGGAGAAACACGTTCGCTTTCCAATTGGCTATTTCGTTAGAATAAGTGCGGTTACTTTTATGTATAAAAACATAGCTCATAATCGATAGGATGAATACACATGTGCTGAATGTGTGCTTTCCAACTGTTATCCGATTAGCCAATTGGATAAACATGTTGATTTTGTAATTTAAATCCCTTTCTATTCTATTTTTGGATTTATACAGCGCCCCTTCCAGGGCCCTTTGCAAGTCGGTCAACAATCTTTAAATGAAAATAAGCTGCACGTGATGGATTCTATTGAATCACATAACAGTGCAAAATGCATTGTAAACAATTCCATTTTGCCTGTTTAAACGAGGCAATTACATTTAGAAAACAATGTTACTCAAACAAATCTAGATTTATGTGGCTTTAGCTATTGTTACTGGGTTTCTACACAAAGTATAATAGTCAAGGCTATAGCAAAAGCTGTTCTACCAAAGCAATTCTACTGTAGATAGGAATCCAGTAACAATCACTGAGCATGAAAACAACAATCGTGACCGCTCATATCAATGTAGGCCTTATCTTCAATACAAAACGATGTGGAGATTTAGATCGCATCTAAATACAACAGCATCTCAAGACGATGTGCAGAAACAATGGAGACCTTTTTTTAAAGGAGGGGCAGTCAGTCATATACATCTTGTGTGATCCTTAAAAGTGGATACCCATGACGGATGTTTTCCCATTTTTTGTGATCTTCAGCATCTCTCGTAGGAGGTCCCGTCCAACTGGTCACATTATCCCACCGACTCATCCGTAACTTGAACAGGGCCATGTTGTCGGCGGGGTGTTCTCGACTATGAGGGCTTTAGATAAAAAAAACACATTTTCCTTTGTATGGCTGATGACGTAGAGCAACAACTATAATTTGACATTGTGGTTGAGCCAGATAACTGCGGCAGGAGTAGCGCGGAGTGTATTGCTGCGTTCGTTATATGTTCCATAGTCTCTTCTGGGTGACCACAACTGCACACATGAGATTTTTGAAATGTCCATTTGTGCATGAGGTATCAGTCCGCATCTGCCAGAGAAGAATGAGTGAGACTGAGTGACCTCCCACTAAGTCGCAACGCGTGGAGGTGTTCCACCATCGCATTACAGTGCCTCTAGTGTTACTGGTTGGAACCTCCTGGTTACACCAGCCCACAGGGGATTCTTGTGTCCGTCCGTCCGTCGTGCAGAGAGGGGCTGGGTGGGGAGGGGAGGGTGGGGAGGGGCTGGGTGGGGAGGGGAGGGGCTGGGTGGGGAGGGGAGGGGCTGGGTGGGGAGGGTGGGGAGGGGCTGGGTGGGGAGGGTGGGGCTGGGTGGGGGGTGAGAGGGGTGGGGCTGGGTGGGGAGGGGCTGGTCACCCCGTGGTGCCCTTATATAACTCAACGTTTAACCTACTCACGCCGGCTTGTGCCCGCCCTCACAGTCGGGCATGTTTGCGGAATACACCACGCCGCCGTTGACCCTGGCCATTGACCTAGCAACCCAACGTTCCTACCAGCTCCCTCCGCAGCAATGTGTTTGGGGGAGCCTGATGATTTCCTGCTGCTCTTGGGGGCATTTGTTTGAGCCGAACTTTTGAAGGGCAATATTTGGCACGTGAGCAATGACGATGGCAGATTTTCCTGATGGGCGACGGTGCAACCCGAGGCACAGATATCCTCACCCCGCTGCATACATAATTGAAGTTAACTTAAGTGGCTGCAGAACGTAGACGCCAGTATGCTTGGCTCAATGCCATTTATTGTTTTTATATGGCAGTGTTAATGATAGTGAGTTTAACAGGCAGGCTTTCAAGACCAATAATTCAGATTTTTTTTGTTAGATCGCGTAAAGATACATTTATCGTTAAACCCAACACTACTCGACACAGCCAATTAGTAAGGGTTGTCACGTAAACAAAACATGCAACTTCCTTACTAGTTCAGCACACCGGCGTGTTGGAGAGCAAACCCACAACATTTACAATTCTAGTACTCGAATTGTTAATGATGGTGGTGAGGTGCTTTGGGGTCCGTGTTCGAACATGTCCAGCCCTTTTGTCAATCCACTGCTGGATGAGGATCGTGTGGGTCGTGGAGGTTATTTGATCGTTTGGTGAAGGCGGGGAGCATGAATGCGGGAGAATATAAGTGCAGTACAGTACGACAATTGATTTTGCTGCATTGGCCCTCTCTCCTGCCAACCACGCAGGAGAAATAACTTACGTAATAATCTTCATCTCCTTTGGGTCTTTCGGTAAAGTCACGTGTTTCTTCACTGGACACACTGGTCAGAGTTGGTTGGTGAAGGTGGAGGGGGGGGAACGCAGGATTAATTAGTTAACATATCACTTGTCAAGAAAAAAAAGGCTTTTTTTACCCTTTCCGGCAACAATATAGGCGTTAAGATGTTCAAACAGCAAATAGAGAGTTGTTACAAGGCATCCAGTCTGCATTCACTGGGAAAGGCAAAGCCCATAATTATTTTTCATAATTTTGATACCGAAAAAACAGGGTCCCATAGATATGTTACTTGTTATTGATCTAAGCTATGGCTGGGAATCAGACTCAGGTTGCCAGATTCATAGTACAGCGCACAAATATTTTTTCCACCACTTAAAAATTCGAACACGGTATATTTACGACCTTTTTAATGCATTTTAAAAACAAGTTTACTGGCAACTATTTGCATTGTGCTGCGGTCAGTGCTTTTCTTTAAAAGTCGCGTCGTTATAAATCTGTCACGTGTAGCTTCCATCGACTTAAAACTTCATTACCGTGTGAGAAAGGCATTTATTTGGTAAATGATAAACAACGTATGAGTATGGCCAGTATACGATTTATTTGGAAGGACGTGTGCATTTTCATCCCCCGATCAATATTACCAATAGCTTTCGTCGGAATAACTGGCACTGATGTAAAAAGTGAGTTGGAAACGCAGTAAATTGACTCAATGAATTGTATTTGAACTTGGACCATCTCGCGTGTCCCCTGGCACTCACCGTCCCGCACTGCCGCTGTGCTGCCCTCAGCGTACAAGGAGAAGATGAAGGAGCTCTCCATGCTGTCCCTCCTTTGCTCGTGCTTCTACTCGGAGCCACACAAGAACTCCATCTACCAATACGCAGGTGGGTGTCACTCGCACACCGTGTCACTCGCACACCGCGTCTTCAAGTTCAAGTTCATTTATTTGGTATAGCCCTGTGAGCCATTCAGCTCTTGAATCGGGTACAACCGCAACAAACAAAAAACAATGACAAAAAACATCTTAAAGTGAATATGTGACTAAGTGCAAACAGAAAATCCAAGAAAAGACAGCAAAAATATTGCAGAAAAAACACCGTACACCAACGCTGTGTGCAAAAATCTCAGTGGGATGCAAGTCAAACAACAACAACAACCACAAGACAACTTAGACTAAGGCCATCAGTCTAACTCTGTACTACAACAAACAAACATGGCTAAACCAATACACTGTCTTGCGAGATGCAACTTGCACACTGCACACACCTCGTGTGATACACCTTTTTACGCGAAATAAAATAATAATTGCATAAAGAAGCGAGGAGAGGTGCACGATTGATATTCAACTTAGAGATGCGTAGAGGAACAGATGAAGATATCACAACGACTGTTAAAAGTGGGTTTGGGCAGGAATAGAAGGGATGTGAGTTGATGGCCAAGGCTAACAGTGGAATGGAAGCCGAGAGATGGATAGTAACCAAGAGGACGGCGGCCACCTTGGAGATGGAACAGAGATCAGCTCACGAGCAAGAGTTAGATGGAATGTTGTTGTAGAGCCATGGAGGTGAATCATTAACACCTCTGGTATTGGAACTAAGTCTCTTTTTTTAAAGGTATTTGTGTTTAAATAAGTTCAAGACAGCAAAATCGCATTTTTGTAAGAGGGATTCAGAAACAAAATCATGACTTTTACAACACAAGAATACATATATTTTTTTACTCGCAAAACTTTAACATCGTAAAACATACACATGTCAAATACACCATATAGACAGTTAAGAAAAAGTAAGCAGGCTTGGGTAGGACGCATCACAAGAGAGGACGGTGATGGACGGACACCGACTGGCGATTGAATGGCAGCTGAAGGAGAGAACGCGTCCAGCCAGGGGTTGACCACCGTAGAGATGGAGCGATGAGATTAGTTGATGGGGGAGGGATGAGATGGATGGTCGCAACACCGGAGCGTGAGGGATGGTGACGGCGTGGGGAGGTTTTCATCCAGCAGTGGATAAACTCGTACCTCTCAACCCCCTTATCATTGCCCTACCTTATTACAGACCCAATTCAGACATTATTGATCACCCCGTGCCCTTATAAATCTCAACGTTCATCCTACAAAGTCCCATCACAAGGGAGAAACGCCGACACATTTTTTTGCCCGTGTTGAAATGGCTGTACGCAGTATGGACCCGAAAACGAAATTTCCCTGTGCAAGAATACTGGGTAAACCGTATGGGTTGACAGATATGTAAGACATGTCAACTCTCCTAGCCAAACCGTCAGAGATGTAGGCCTCAGCAAGGTAAGGTTCAAGTTCAAGTTCATTTATTAGGTATAGCCCTGTGAGCCATTCAGCTCTTGAATCGGGTGCAACCGCAACAAACAAAAAACAAAAACATGAACAAAAAAAACATCTTAAAGTGAATATGTGACTAAGTGCAAACAGAAAATCCAAGAAAAGACAGCAAACATATTGCAGAAAAAACACCGTACACCAACGCTGTGTGCAAAAATGCCAGTGGGATGCAAGTCAAACAACAACAACAACCACAAGACAACTTAGATTAAGGCCATCAGTCTAACTCTGTACTACAACAACACAAACATGGCTAAACCAATACACTTTTCGAAATCACCAAAATAAAGCCATGAAGGCAATGAAAAAGCAATCATAGGAACTGACGGAATTTTCACAATAAATGGCATAAACAACATGTACTACCAAAACCCTGCAGCCATAGCTGGCTGCATGAGTCACTCCACAACAGCAGGAGCATCAATCGGAGTATTGTAATTTTTCAATGCACCTTTAAGATCAGCACACTAAATCAAAACACAGGTCATACTTTGTAGCGATCATCCGGAGCGAAACATTTTATTTTAGGTCACTGAATAGCACTGGCAGCTAGGGGTGTACAACTCCTCTAAAGCAGTTTTGAGTGAAGATCTCATAGGTAGTGACTCAAGTTTCAATTTATTTGCAACAGCATTCCAGACCCTGGGGGCATCAATAGCAAAGGCCCTTCCTCCAGTATATGTACGGCAATAGGGAATATTAAGCTGGTAAATGAGTGTAGACCTTAGGTCAAATTTGTTCTTTGAAACAGAGACGAGATCCAGCAGGTAATCTGCAGATTTTTTTGCAAGTACATCATGAATAAATAAGATCTGGTGCACAAGCCGTCGAACATTCAGAGATGTTAAGTTTGACCCAATGTAGAGATCACAGTGGTGAGTCCTATATGGGCAGTTCAATGCAAATCTTAAGGCCGAGTGATACATTGAGTCAAGCTTCTTCAGTACAGTACTTGGGGCTGATTTATACACAATGTCACAGTAGTCAAGTAGAGGCAGTACGGTAGCTTTAATCAATTCCAAACGGAACATAGGAGGGAAGCAGTGCTTGTGTCGATATAGAAAATCAATTTTAATTTTTGTCTTTTTCCCAATATAATCAATGTGATCTTCAAAATTCAGTTTTGAATCCAGGATGACCCCAAGATACTTATAGATCTTGACTTGCTCTATTTGATCATTATTTAAGGTATGTAATTGGGGAAAAATAACTTCCCGCTTTAGTCCTGGTGAGAAGCATAGCACCTTGGTTTTGGCAGGATTTAGGACTAGTTTAAGAGCAACTAGCTGATGTTGTAGTTTGTTGAAATCACTCTGGAGCTTAGCAATCACGTCATCCGGAGAGCGGCCAGCAGTAATTAGTACCGTGTCATCTGCAAAAAGATTTACCCTGGAATAATCCAGTTCAGTGCCCAAGTCATTTACATAAAGAGAGAACAAGAGGGGGCCGAGAATGGAACCCTGTGGAACCCCTTTTGTTATCTTAACACTGTTTGACCTCCAACCATCTGTGAATACAGTTTGGGTGCGAGAAAAGAGGTAATTTTTCAACCATTTTACTGTGTTTTCGGAAAAACCGAGGCAACTTATTTTACTAAGCAGGATGTTGTGGTCTACTGTATCAAAAGCTTTGGACAAGTCAAGAAAAAGACAGGCGCAGTACTGCTTATTATCAAGGCTACTGTAAAGGTAAAAACAAGCCTACTTTTACCTTGCCACAATACAATCACTCTACCCTCACCTTTTACCCTTTAGCAAGGTAAGTTAAAAGGTATAAGGTCAAAAGCAACGAGTCTACCTTTACCCTACATTTTACCTTTACCCCATACAGATTACCCGATTACAGGGTAATTACTGGGGTACTACTACACATTTAAAAGGTTTGTAACAGGTAAATGCTAGGTAGAGCGCTTTAATCATATAGAATACTCTCGATGATTCCAATTTTAAATGGAGGCCACAGACTGCGCCATGGAGCTTTTAGCGAGCGGTAAACAAGGTATTTACCGGGTAATACCTCGCGCTACCTTTATCCTAAGTTTTACCTTTACCATTTTACCCGGTAAAAAGGGTAAATTACCTTTCCTTGCCGAGGCCGAAAGGGATGTAAGCCATGGCTGATCATTGATTGTGGGGAACGTGCATTGTTTTGTTTGTTTAAAGTATCGCAATGTTGACAGTAAACGACAGCCTCATCTGCCAGTCGTGAATGTGGCCACGGGAACGTTTTCAACGTTTTGAGATCACAAAATGGGGCCCGTTCCCGTGTGACCTCTTCTTTGGCTTTCTTCACGGCGCCGTCGCGGTCAAGGTGATGCCGTGAGCCGACGCGACACTGCCACCTGCTGTGACGGAATCGCAATTATGTTTTACTTGAAGGCCGAAGCAGTAACACGGGACATGATGTGAGAAAATAAGAGTGTTTGACCCTTTCTGGCAATAAAACAGGAGGTGTTAAGATGTTCGAACACCAAATGGAAACCTTTTGCAAGGAATCAAGTCCGCATTAACCACGCACATTACTTGTGTTGAGCATGCAAACAAAAATACTCTGATAATATTTGAGGCATTGGGGGCCGTCCATAAATGACGTCACGCGATTTTGGACGATTTTTGACCGCCCCCCCCCCTTCGTCACACGGCGTCACAAAAAGTCAGACCCCCCTCAAATATGACGTCACAAAGCTCTGCCCCTCCCCCCCCAAAAAAAATGAAACATGCTTCAAATCGCTTTAAACTATTGTCATTGTAGTGCGTATTTAATATGGCGCTGCACTCTGATGTTGTAGGAGAAAACATGTATTAAAAAGTCTATTTAATTCAGTTAGACCGTGTTGTCTATATTTATTTAAAGTTGCGCATTTTGATGTGACGTCATTTATGGACGGCCCCTTGTCTTTGAAACTAATTGATCTACACCAGAGACAGCCTTCTTCAGGGCCTGGCCTCACCAGTGTCAGACCAGAGGACGCCTAGAGGCGCACAAAGGCAATGCCACTATCAGAGCAGTTATAGCTCGGGGTGAACAGCTACTCAATGGGACCTTGTTTTAGATTTGAAGCTTTTGTGACTGCAAGGATTCATACTCTTAGGCTTTTTCGGTAAAGTCACGTAGGTAAAAAATTTGAATAAAATTAATAGAAGTAATAATAGAAATAAAATAATAAATCACGACGTTTGCCAGTATCAAAGTATGAAAAAATAAGAATAGGTTCTACCCTTTAAGGTCCCAATTTTGCAGGTCATCCCTGCTCACCTTATGGCTTCACCCAGTGCACGTGGTTCATGCGTGCGTGTCGTGCTACGTCGCTGCACCCTGTGCTGCGCCCGTGGTCACGGTGTCGCGCCGCAGACATGGAGGTGAAGGAGCTGAACAAGCGAGCCTCCGGCCAGGCCTTCGAGGTGATCCTCAAGCCGCCGTCGTCCGACCTCTCCCCGGACCGCTCCCCGACTGGCTCCAAGCGCCGCGACCTCTCCCTGGGGGAGATCCAGAAGAAGCTGGAGGCAGCCGAGGAGAGGCGAAAGGTAACGGAGAGGAGAGGATGGAGGTGACGGTGCGGTTAAGAGGGGCAAAAGGTAACGGTGCGGTTAAGAGGGGCAAAAGGTAACGGTGCGGTTAAGAGGGGCAAAAGGTAACGGTGCGGTTAAGAGGTGCAAAAGGTAACGGTGAGGTTAAAAGGGGCGAAAGGTAACGGTGCGGCTTGGAGAGGAGGGAGGTAACGGTGCGGTTAAGAGGGGCAAAAGGTAACGGTGCGGTTAAGAGGGGCAAAAGGTAACGGTCCACGTGCTCCGTTACTTCCAGCGCCTAGAACGAAACGTCGGACATGCCGTGCACTCGGGACCATGACCTCTGGCACTTGCCCCCCACACGTCTCCTGACCCCTGCCCCCTCCCCGCCGCTCCGACCTCTCAGTCCCAGGAGGCGCTGGTGCTGCGGCAGCTGGCCGAGAAGCGCGAGCACGAGCGGGAGGTCATGCAGAAGGTGCTCGAGGAGAACAACAACTTCAGCCGCCTGGCCGAGGAGAAGCTGCTGCAGAAGATGGAGATGAACAAGGAGAACCGCGAGGCCCTGCTGGCCGCGCTCATGGAGCGTCTGCGCGAGAAGGTGGGGGCCCCCCCTTCCCCCCCCCCCCTGGTCGTGGCGAGCGTGGTGATATCTCAACCGGTCCTGGGTCTCCGAGGTTGGGTGAAGTTTGGGGCACAGAGAGGCAACGCCCCCGCCCAAACTGGGCACCTTTATTAATTTATTTTCAGTAGTTTGCAATTAATATTTAATAGAAATTAATTGCATACACCCCCGATGCCTGATGTGAAGGACAGAGCGAACCCTGCCCCCCCCCCCCAAATATAGAAGTCAAACTCTGCCTTTGTAGAGATTTAAGCTACCTTGCCTGGTATACAAGAAGTCGTGGGTTGGATCCCGACCCTGACGCCTGCTGTATATTTGGAGTTTGCATGTCTCTCTCTGCCCATGGTCGCGTGGATTTTTCGCCGGGTTCCCCGGTTTTTCCCTCCACATTTAGAATCAACGCTCGTTTGGAGTAATTAGCTGCTATATATTTCCACGTGATAAGCCACTTTGTTTAGCTATCATTTGTGGCCAGGTTGCTTCTGAAAAAGAGCTATATAGTTCAGCGGGCCTTACCTGGTATAATAAAACATGGTTTCGTTTTCGGGGTCAACTCAACATTAAATGAGTCCTCCACATGGTGCGGTGTGTAAACATCAGCAATGGGGACACGAAAGGTGGCCACAGTGTGGTGTTGGCCACACCACTCCCTTGTGCACCACGGAGGACTTAACAGGGACGTGCACGCACTTGTGTGCGCATAAGCGTGTGAACTTGTTTATGCATTCACGCACGTGTCGCCGTATTTGTGTTCACGCGTATTGTTGAATGTGTGTATGAATTCGCTTCATGCGCGCGCGTGTGTGTGTGTGCTTGTATTGCGTAGGAGAGGCATGCCATGGAGGTTCGTAGGAACAAGGAGCTGAAGGAAGAGCTGTCCGGGTGAGAGGGGAAGTTGAGCCAGGGCAAGGGCCAAGTCCAGCTGCCCAGCCTCTGTCCTGCTGCAAGTCCTACAACCTTACCCTGCTGCCCAGCCCCCCGCCCCCCAAAGAGGGCAGGGGTTGCTGAGGTCACCCACTCCATCTCCCCCCACTGCCCCTTCCCTGTGAGCGCTGCCCTGCTGCCCTTCCCAAGCCCGACTCACACCCCCCCCCAACAAGCTACGGCCTCCCCACTGGGTAGCACTTCACCCAGCGTATAACGCCACTGCCCACCACCACTCCCCTCTGACTGCCCCGCAAACCAGAGCCAACGTTACGCAGTTATCTTTTCTTTTGAAAGTGGAAGTGAAACAGCTAACCAAAAGTTATTTTAGAAGCATACAGAAAGTAATTATAAAAAGTAAAAAAAAAATGGATCTACAATTAAAGTACGTAACAGCTTGTCATCAATATTTTAATGTTTTTTTGTATATAAACTCAGTTGACATATAGGTACGTGTCATTTAAGCAACCCCGTAGCATTTGGTTGCTGTGTGGTGAACGTGTGTTCATTTTCTTAGTGCTCACTTCCAATATCGAACGTGCATAGGCTGGCGCCACGGTGGGGGGAGTGGGGGCGGAGGGGTGGATGCAGGGGGGCATTGACTGCCCCCCACCCCCCGATGTAGCAAACTAGGGAGGGAATCAAACAGACTTCATCTCAATCTCCAAAAAAATATCCCTGTCGATGGGGTAGAAGCCAATTAACAGAAATTAATTCATTATCGAACGTGCGTTTAATGCTAAAATTAAATCTATCTTGGGTTAATTTGTAACGCACTGTGAGAGGGGGCTGGGTTAATAAAGGACAAGGATTGTCATCCAAGACAGGGATGAAACCCCCCCACCCCACTCCACTCCCCACATCTTCCTTTTCCCTTCGGCTACAGCGCCTCCACGCGGACAATTCTGATCGCCGTTTTAGTTCCCAACGTTGCGGCTGCGCTGCGGTAACAATGAAAGGGCTCTGCTACGGGACCACCGATCTTGCCGATGATGTTTGCCAATCATCATGACTCGATCGATTTCGTCCATCAATCGACGCATCGATGAATCCGCAAATTGCGATGAGCCCCCGGTATTTTTGATGTTTGTTTTGTTGTTACGGATGGACCGAACGGATTCGACACAATTGATCTCGGTCAACGATCCACAATGACCAAATCTCTGATCGGTGATTTTGTCGGGCGTACGATTTTATCACTCTGTTACAGAGCCACCCTCTGGCTCCAACCTCCCCCCACCTGATCCTTCATTCCCCCCACCAATTGCAGAGTCCCGTTAAAGCTTCTCGCCTACAGCAACGGTGGTGCCGCCCATGCGAACATAATAATCATTAGCGTCGTCATTGTAACAGCTAGAGAACACACGTGCGGCGACCGGCAGTGTCGTGCCACGGTTTGAACGGCGCTGGAGGCGTCTGTTGCTGTGTGTGTCACTGGCAAGTGAACTGGATGGCATACCTAGACCTGAACATTAACTTCAGGTTCAGGAGGTCTGAGCCCCAGTGTAATATGTGTGTACGTGGGTGTGCGTATGTATGTAAGTGTGTATGCATACACACTATTTATTACCCAAACGTTGGCTTTTGAAAGCTTAGGCACACGATTACAAACCACTTGTCAAGGATTACCACAGCAATATTCGTGTTTTGTGTGGTAATGAAGCAATGGCAGGCGGGGAGAAGCTGACCACATGAGTTGCAGGGGTCCTACGCACCAATTCAGTGAATGATAATGTTGTGATCCGTCAGACCAAAATCCGCTTGTGGTGTTTACCAATCGCCAGTTAACGATATGAGCCCTCTGCTTTATCAGCACAATTAGAAGATAGTTGTTTTTTGTCCTAACTAAGTTGAACAGTCTGCAGGGCTCAGATTAAACGTACTTAAGGTGGCAGATTTCAAGCTTACAAATTTCATGGACGCCTGCAACGCTCAGTGCTGGTCGGCTTCCCCACTTTGCCAAATTTCTCTCCGACCCCACGCGGCCCTCCTCCCTCCCAGACCTTGACGTTCAAAATATCTCACGTCCAAGAAGAATACGCGCATTTCTTTTTTCTTTATTGGCGGTTCAATTTTCAACGCGATTTATTTTATTGGAAGAAGAGCGGAGGAATATCCGAAACAGGTATTTTCGTTCGTGCTTATGATACCACATGGCACCGTGGAACATGAGACGTTCCCCTGGCAATCGGTTCCCGTCCCTCTTCAGTTTGATACCCACACCCCCCCCCCCCTTCTTCGGGGAAGTTCCCTTAACCTGATGTTGGTCAACAAAAGTGTGCACGTGGGCCGTGCCGATCAGCCAGTGGAGTAAACTTGGCAGCCCCCGGGCCCGCAGAGCGCGAGTCACTCCGCACGGTGGCACCACGAGCGTGATGTAGCGATACTCCAACTCGCATCGGGCCGGTCAAGCGTTCGCCGGCGTGATGGGGAGTCACGCGAGCGTGGGTCCTTCGCGCCACCGCGTCTGCTTCCCGCACTGATCCACGCTCTGGCAATCGTGGCATCTGGTGACACCTGGCTGCCAGGTTCACTCCGACCCCAAATATAAAACTCATCAATGTGCAAGTTGGGCGGGGGGGTGGGGGGGTGTTGTTTTCCAGAGAAGTCGTGTCGCCTGCTGAGAGCTCGTGGGATCCCATCGCAGTCACCAGACAGCTCGCCGGCTGGGCTTTGAAAGTTCAACTCCGGGCTGGTGTTAATCTGACGGACGCGGCTGGGGTGTCTGCACGAGCACCGCGTGGCGCCACGTGACCCACCGCGTGCACCCGGACGGCAGTCCAAAGTAACGGTAGTGTTTGTGGCATAATATGCGTCTAGTTCTTCGTGATTACTGCTGTGTAGTTTTAACTCCTCGTCTCTTTACTAAGTGATCGTGTAGCGGAGGATGTGACGGTCCCGTGACCGGGTACCTTTTGGGTGGTCCAGTCGGTTGGTAACGCGTCGCTCTGCACCCCGCTGTCTCGCGAGGGTTTGTGTGGGGGGGGGGGGGGGTGCCGTGGGGTTTGGGTGCGCGCCCAAAGCGTTCGGGGAGGTCGCGCGGTGGACGGACGTCGCGGGCTTCGGCCGCCACGGCGGAGCCTCCGATTGCTACCCATGTCCAAGATGAGCATGTCTGAAATAAACACAAGATAAATTGCGCCCTGGTGCTGCTTTGTGTCACAGCTTTCTTTCGCGAGCGTTGAGCACGGGGCGGCTTCACGGTGGCTTGGAGATGTGAACTCCCTCGCCTGGTGTGCAGGAGGCCGTGGGTTCGATCCCGACCCTGACGCATGTTGTACATTTGGAATTTGCGTGTTCTCTCTCTCTCCCTGTGGGTGGCGTGGATTTTTCTCCGGGCCGTACGGTTTTTCCCTCCGCATTTAGAATCAACATGCCTTTCGAGTATTCGGCTGTTTACAATTTCCACGTGAAAATCCACTTCATTGGGCTATCATTTGTTGCCAAGTCGCTTCTGAAAAAGAGCCATTTATCTCAGTGGGCCTTACCTGATAAAATAAAAAATAAATAGTTTCGATTTATAGTATTACTCAAAAGTTAAATACGCAGCCCTGTTAATTGATTGCTCACGCGACTGCTGGCGGAAGGGCCGCCACTATAGGTAACTCTGGAGAATCCCCTCGCTGGCCAGATGTGTCGGAAGAGGAAGGAATGCCCACGATGTATCCCACCACACGCAACCTGCCAATCAACCAGTCACAGGAACACTCCCGAAAAGCCACACTGGCATGGCACACATTTGAAAAACAATCGCACTGAAGTTAAAGTGTCCTTGTCAATACATCGGTACAAGGTAGAGATGAACGTGTGGAATATTAAGTCTTGGGCTTAGAAGGAGGAGGAGGGGTTTTTAAATCAGAGAAAATGTGTTGTAACTGCTTATTAGCAAGCATAACATTTGTTCAAGGGTCATAAATGGGCAGGGCAGGAAGGCTGACGAAGAACCCAGAGGTGTGAGTGAAGACCCAAGGAGGACAGTCATAGAGGAGGAGGAACACCCAAACGTCGTTGTCCACGCAGCGGAGGAGCCACGGTGACGTACCTATCCCTTGCCTGGGGTGAGCGGCGTTACTCACAGAGGCGAGATCTTGTCTCTCCCACTTCCCTTGAGTCAGCACCCCCACCGTGTACGCGCGTGCGTCACACCTGGCCTGGCACGGTGCAACGCCCCACCAGTCACGCGGTGGGTTGCTCGGCTCGGGAATTCCTTCCGCAGCCCCACCTGGCAGCGTTTGCGGTTCAGTCTTGATCAATGTCCCGTGCAGTGTGCAGGCGGTGCAACTGCCCCCCGGGGATTACGAAAGAAATCCTACAACGAAAATCACCGCATCTCAAGACGATGAATGTAAACAGCATAACGTGTCTGTCCTGCAGTCGTCATAGGCAGAGGAGAAGGGGAAATATCTTGAGGGATCACGACAACACGGATGGCTTGCGATTGATTGGGGGGAGGGGGAGGGAGTTCCATACAGGGTGCTTCAAAAAAAAGTAAACACCTCCGAGAATTTGCAACAATACCACGAGAAAGGTGCTGCCTCCAGGCTCTGGAGACCACCTGGAGAAGATTCCAGGCAACGTGTTGACAATGATGGCGAACAAGTGGAGACTCTGACTTATTGAAGCTATTAACATGACATTTGTTAGCATGTTACAGTCTACGTTCTCTTTCCATTAAAAACTATAGTCCCATATAAGTGTTAACATTTTTTTGAAGCACCATGCATTTCAGGGGTAGCAGAGGAGAAAGCGTGACCTCCCACTGAGCGGTGGGATGAGGGCCGCATTCAATTCCTTGCACCAGGGCCCATGCCGACCGTGCTGTGCCACTGGTCCCATGTCCATGGCGAGTCTGTGTCACTCATTGGGTTGAGTGACTGGTTGTGTGTGGGTGGGTATTTGGGACTCGCATAGATTTCATTGCGGGGAGGAGGAGTGGTGCATTAGAAACTCAGCTACCAGAGTTGTACTCCCGTGCGTGGATAACAGCGAGTCATGATATCTCAACTGGTCCACAGGCAGCACGCACTCAAGGGGTGTACGTATATTTATAAATTAGATTTCAATCACGTATCGCTGGATGATAATCAGCCATAAAATACTGGTTCTCATGAGCACACATGACCCTAGCATTAAAAAAACGAGAAATGGGATGATGGAATCGAGTTATAATGTATGTACATTTCAAGCACTTTTTTTCAGAGGAGATGGTTAAGAGTTACCATTTAGATTTCAGTGGAACGAAATTACTTCAAAGAGATATTGGCAGAGGCAATTGTAGTTAACATTCCATACAAGTGGATACACTGAGGCTAACTGGACAATGTAATTATTCATAGCAACAAGTTGGGGCATGCCAGCCTTTAAAACATAGCAAGTCCTGATTAATTGTCGACAGTAAGGAGGTCAAGGTCATCATCATTATGAAATGTAGAAAAACGATCATTTGCACGCTGCGTTGTTGTGTAGTTGAAGTTATTCGCAAGTGAAAACAATCCGTGTCCAAACTCTGAGCAGGTACCTCCTATGCAATGTGGGTCCAACATGTGAACACCTGTGCAGGGACATCGCGGATGTCACTGTGTAATGCGGTGACATCACCACGACGCTGGTGCCAGGCTCGGTGCACCTTGAGGCCACACTGACAGGTCACGGAACAGACCCAGGCAAGCGCCATGGGTTGAGTAACTGAGATGACTGACAGATGCACCGCCAGTGCTCCCTACTGCACCAACTTGCTGCTTATTATCCGCCTGGCTCTCCGCTCGTTATTGCGAGCGTCCTTCACGAACCACCACCATGTCCCTTCACACTGGCCAGTGTGGTGAAAGGAGAGTGAAACAAACCCTATGACTAACACGGGATAGAGATGCCTTCATCCAGCAGTGGATTGTCAAATGACATTGCGTTGCCATTGTGTTGCCGGTGTCAGGGTTAAAATCTGCCAAATTAGAATATTACCAGCAAGAGATTACTCAATCGGGATTACACAAAACAGCAATCATCTCTCCCTATTGGCAGACTAATGCCCCAAGCCACTCTTACGAATGATACTCATCCTGGCCTGTCGACTTCTCACCTGGTTAAACATATAAGCTTGAACTATCATCATACATTGCATGTGACTTGCGACAGTAAACCTTGCAGCCACGAAATATTCTACAAACAAAAGACCACCCATTAACTCGCCATTGTCAAGATAAATTGTGCTCAGGGGAAATCCCTCACATAATGTCCAACCTCAGTTCCAGAATTTAGTGTGCCTGGCATGACCTATTTCACCTCGTGACAGTATCGTTTTGTGAGAAATTACACTGGAGCAATCTCAGTGAACGTGTTGAAAATTCTACACCACTAGCGATGAATTGTCAAAGTGTGGTGTGGCCAACATTGATCAATTCGAGAGCTGACATGTGTAACAGAAGAGACGGTGTAGCCGGTTGAAGCCGCCAAAGGCCAACGCACTTGCTCAGAATCCCTGCCTGTTTCATCATGCGATAAATATTTTGGCTGCCTTGGTTGTGTGCGCCAGGCAGGAGCTGTCAGGCGCCGTGGCATTTGAGCCACAGAACACGTTTAAACACGACGGCGCAACGGTCAACAGTCGTTGTGATGATTTCCATGGAAATGATTACCGCTGTAACTCGCAAACCAAGCCCATGAGTTTTTTGATCCCATTTTGACAATTATGTTTAGATGCGAGTGGTTGTTGAAATATATATCAGATTTAAAACGTTGTTGAGTAATATTCATTCGACGCATGGGCGGCATGTATGTATCTTTGCCCCAGAGACACAAATTCTCTCCCCCACCCTCCTTACACACACACACACACGAAAAACCCCTAAGTTGTGGAGGGGTCAGCACCAGCGTGATACGGGAGCGTTAATCTACGTCAGGTGGGGAAAGCTGGAGGTCAAAGTCAAAACAACAAAATAAAAAAGTAGTTTCCTGCTCAAATAACCACCGCGCCAGTGCTCGTCGGCTCTTTATCGCCCTGAGCCACTGGTGGAAATTACAAATTCATATGCCGGGGGTGAGTCTATCCAGAAGTCAACCACTGTTGACTTCCCCACGAAGCGGTACGGGTGTTATCAACCCCAGAGGGACGGTGGACGGGAGCCCAACTCGCCAGGTAGGATTTTAACTTGCAACCTTCCGCTTGCGAGCTGCTTGTGATACCACTGAGTCACCTGACCGGATGCAAACACAGCAACCAAATAAACATCACTTAATGAAGAGAGTATTGTTCATAGGAGCCGTCCATATATGACGTCACGCGATTATGGACGATTTTTGACCCCCCCCCCTCGTCACAGGGCGTCACAAAAAGTCAGACCCCCTCCTCGAATATTACGTCACAAAGCTCTGCCCCCCCCAAAAAATAAAACATGATTCAAATCGCTTTAAACTATTGTCCTTGTAGTGCGTATTTAATGTGCCGCTGCATTCTGATGTCGTAGGAGAAAACATTTATCAAAAAGTCTATTTAATTAAGTAGAACGTGTTTTCTATATTTATTTAAAGTTGCGCATTTTGATGTGACGTCACATTTCTCAAACCCCCCCCCCCCCCTCGTCACACGTCGTCACAAATGTCTGACCCCCCCCCCCCCTAGGTGCGTGACGTCATTTATGGACGGCCCCATATCGTTCATTTTAAATTCTAGTTGAAACAAACAGCCATACTTACATTAATAATATACTGTACATGTTACGTGGGGTCCTCTGGAGATTTGGGCCCTGAATAAATGTCCATTTTGCCTCCCACTAAGTCCAACCCTGCGTCAAGCAACTTGTCAATTATCCATCGAACGTGCCTCTGCGTTCAACGGGGTATTCTTATTTCAGAAACTCGCAAAACTTTTCCCTCCGAAGCCGACCTTTTGGGCTGTTAGCCAACCTCTGCCCAGACATGAATGAACAAAGTCTGCATATGTAACTACCATTCCATGTTGCTGACAAAGACAAATTAACCCCGCATCGCAGCGTTTACAGACTGTTGAGGCGAGTGCTGTTTGCGAGCGCCTATGAAGGCCGGCACAGCACACGAGGCGGTGGGTGGCCAGAATAAAGCCCAGCCGTCTTTGTATCCCCAGTGCTGATGCTTACTACACACCGCACCAGGTAAAAATTCGATTTAAA